CTGTCAATCGGTCATGGGGTCAACGGATTCACCTACGACCCAGCACTTGGTGAATTCATATTAACCGAAAAAAATATGAGAATTCCAAGCAGAGGAAAAATTTATAGGTACTTCATTTTTTTTTCTAGATTATTCAGCGACTTCCAGAAATCTAGAGAAATAATTATTCCTGCATTTTCCATAAATAATCATCAGGAATTAATAAATTTAATTGAATTGTCTGTTTAAATAAATAAATTTAATTGAAAACAGCATTAATGAGGGATACGAGGCTGTTTGGGATCCGGCAATTAAGGAATATGTTCAATCAAAAAAATATCCAGCCACTGGGAAGCCTTACGGGGCCCGATATGTTGGTTCCATGGTGGCGGATGTCCACAGGACTATTAAATACGGAGGAATTTTCCTGTACCCAGCGACAAAAGAAAATGTCAATGGAAAAGTATGAATAATAATTACCGTAATAATTAATAACAATTCATTATTAATATTCGTCCATTATTAATTTAATTGCTTCTGTTAAAATAAATATTAACAGACATATTGATATTATTATTTTTCTAAATATATTCAGGTACTCGCAATAATATATTATATATTATAATATATGAATATATTTTCGTAAAATTTCAAATATATTTTTTTCGAAAAATAATTGATTGGATTAATTAATCGAATAATTAGTTGAATAATTAATTTATTCGTTTTTAATATTTGATAAGCAATTATTATTTTTATTTGTAGTAATTATGAATTACTGTGGGTTGGAGATTTTTTGGTGTATTTTTTGGTGCGCGGGATTTTCGAATGGAATTATCTATAAATGGGTCTGATGGCCCAATTATTTTTTTCTGCCGCAGCTCCGACTTTTGTACGAGTGCATTCCAATGGCGTACATTGTTAATGAGGCGGGGGGTAAGGCTTCCAATGGAGAAATTGATATTCTTGATGTAGTGCCTGAAAAACTCCACCAGAGATGTCCGATATTCCTGGGGTCCTCTGAAGACGTTGATGATGTGCTCGAAGTTATCAGGAAGCACAAGTGATTGGAAATCAATCAGAGATTTTTCTGGTCAACCCCAGATTTATATAATCGGTCATGATCATCGATTACGATATCGATTATTCATTTATTTCGATTTACATTGAACAATTATTTGAATTTTTTATTTTCTTTGATTAGTAATTTTATTTTGCGAATGTAATGATTTTTTGTAACGAATTATTGCTTAATAAATTCATGATTAATTTGCGTAAATCTTGTTTTAGAATGACGTTTGGAAAAATTGAGATTTTTGGGGTCTCGCAGTCAGTGGGAGTCCAATAGGAATAAATATGTATTTTCAACCTAAAATTTCTCTGGATATTTCCTCAGATGGATGCCAGTCAATTCGAGCGCAACATTTTAAGTTACTCAACGAATTTATTTTGGGAATTTCTTCCGAGCTCTGCATACATTTTTTTCACCAACCGCTGACATACGAATGAAAAATAACTCCAAGATACAAAAATAATAATAAATTCTTAATAAAAATTCTAGTGGAAAGGAGGCGTAAAATCTCACCTACGGAAAATTCCAGGAAAATTTTATGGCTCTAGAAATTTCAGGGGGAACACCTGAATTTTTTTAAATAATTAATTATAAATAATTAAAATAATGAATTATTACTCTTTTCTGAATTTTTCATTAAAAAATTCTCCCAAATGATTATTTTCTCGAAATTTTCTCGCGTAAAAAAAAAGTTGAAGTTGAATATTTCAACCATCTTTTAAAAATTAATATTAATAATAATAATATATCAATAATTAATTATAAATAATTAAAATAATGAATTATTACTCTTTTCTGAATTTTTCATTAAAAAATTTTCCCGAAATTTTCTCGCATAAAAAAAAAGTTGAAGTTGAATATTTCAAACATCTTTTAAAAATTAATATTAATAATAATCTTAATGTTTTAATGTTTTAAATAAAATAAATGCTCGATGGAGCTTTTGAAAACCGACCGAAATCCCAAAAATTATTCGTCCGATTAATAAAATATCGCATGATCTAATGATTCATCGATCTGATAAGGTGATTAAAAAATTCAATGACAGAAGTCTTCCTGTGGGGATTTCTCATGCATCATTTGAGTACACGAGATGTGCCAAGACGACAAGAGCCATTCAGGGTCAAGCAACAAATTGAGAATGATGCCCGGACAAATTCCTGGGGCTTCTGGTTCGCGTTATTTTTTCCCGTTGTTGAAGGAGCTGCAGGCATGTGGCACAATTTCCTCATCCAAAAATTATAAACAACATTATAACAAGCAGAAAATAGAAACATTGACAGCGAGAGGAAAGAATTTCAAGAATCAATTGTTTTTAAATTAAAATTTAATTACTGCAAATTAATACATAATTAAATAAATCTGGTTTAAACAACTGATTGAAATTTTTGTAATTTTCAAATGTAATTTTAGTTTGCAAGAATTCAAATGAAATTAGTATTTATTTATATATGCCTGAGGACGGATTTAATTTATAAACTAAAATATTTTTTAATCTCAATCAATTATTCATTTTTACATATAAAAAATAGAAAAATATTCTTCAAGTTCTCGATATCTACGAAAAGTTAATATAATATAATTAATATAATTAAACAATTTATCAATCCGTTTCAATTTTATATAAATATGTAATTAAGATTATATTTATTTGTTTACACTGCGTATTTGTTGAGTAAATTGGCGCAAATGAATGAGAAGATTAATAAATTAAAAAATATTTTCCATCGTCTTAAATTTAATTTAATAATAAACAATTTGCGTGGCGAACAAATAGACGCAGGTATTTTCCTGAATTTTAATGCGCGTGCAACTCTGAATCTAGAATTGATTGATATAAGTATTAATTTTGCAAAAATTTGTATTTTTTATTTAAAAAGATTATTGCTGAGACTCACGTGTCCCATTCCCTTGCACGTGGTCTAAAATCAGA